GAATATTATTCCTTTGTGTGCATGTCTCACATTTTGTTTATCCATTCACCTGTCATAGACACTTGGGTTGCTTCCATTTTTTGGCTATTGTAAATAATGCTGCTATGAACATGGGTGTGCAAATATCTCTTTGAGATCCTGCCTTCAATTCTTAGGGGTATGTACCCAGGATTAGAATTGCTGGGTCATATGGTAGTTCTATTCTCAACTTCTTTTTTTTTTTTTTTTTAAGATTTTATTTATTTATTTGAGAGAGAGAGAGAGAATGAGAGAGAGAGCACGTGAGAGGGGGGAGGGTCAGAGGGAGAAGTAGACTCCCTACTGAGCAGGGAGCCCGATGCAGGACTCGATCCTGGGACTCCAGGATCATGACTTGAGCTGAAGGCAGTCGCCCAACCAACTGAGCCACCCAAGCACCCCTCTATTCTCAACTTCTTGAGGAACTGCCATATAGCTTTCCTATTGGCTGCACCATGTGACACCCCCACCAACAGCTGCACACGGGTTCCAGTTTCTTCACATCCTCACCAACACTTGTTTTCTGTTTTCTTAGTAGCCATCCTAATGGGTGCAAGGTGGTAGCTCATTGTGGTTTTGATTTGCATTTCCTTAATGATTAGTAATGTTGAGCATCTTTTCATGTGCTTATTGGCCATTTGTATGTCTTCTTTGGAGAGAAGTCTGTTTGGATATCTTATTATGATCTACATTTCTCTACTAATTATTTTGGCCATATCCTTGTATGTTTCTTAGCTTTTTGGGGGTTTCCTCTTCCAAAAAGTCCATGCTTGTATCCTTTGTGCATTTGTTTCTCTTGTGAATTTGCAAGAGTTCCTTGTATACTGAGGCTGTACTAATCTTGTCAATTTTAGATTTTGCACATGTTCTCTCATTTTGTCAAGTGTCATCTGGAACAGGTATCTTTCATTTTGACATAGTAAAGTCCCTCCACCTTTTTTTGCATTATGACTGTGCCTTGAAATCTTCCCTAATAAACCTTTTCCTCACTCTGAGTCTCAAAGATGTTCCTCTCCATGTGTTTTTTTAAATCAATGTTATAATTTGGCCATTCTCATGGACTCTTCAACCCACCATCTGAGCACCCACCTTGTATGAGATAACATTGTTTTTCTCTATAAAGTGAGGCAGTTTTCCCAGTAAGAACAGCTGACTTTGATGCACCTTTTATTGTGTATTAAGCTTCCCTAGAACTAGGGCTCCATCTCTGCACTCTTCGTGGCTTGTCTATTCTTTCTCTAACACCATACTGGATTTTTTTTTTCTTTGTTTTTAAACAATGTCATTATAGTATGCCTGAATATTTGGAAGAAGGAGATTCCTGCCCACCCACCTTTTACTTAGGCATCTGTAGACCTTTATTCCTCCTCACACATTTCAGAGTAAGTTTTCATAGCTGGAGTTTTTATTTGGATTACAATGACATTATAGATTAACTTAGGGAGAAGTAACATCGCCATATATTTGGCCACCCCTCCCAAGAGCATGAGATGACTCTGCTTGGAGGGTGTCTACACCCACACTTTGCTCCCACCTAGCAATTAGCAAGCAATCGATGGAGTTTGCTAAATCAATGCTAGGGAGAAAATCTCCAGGGAGGAAGAAAGAATGGGTCTGGAATGTTCCTCAGCACCACTCCCTCCATTCCTAGCCAAGCTGGGCAATAGGAAGGAAACATACTGTTACAGAACCTATGTTCTCTGGGTAGACAAAACCCAAGTATGATGGAGGAAATGCATATGGTGGGAAGTTGAGCTTCCCACCCAGAAGGTTTGGACTCCCCTGGCGAGGGGATCATAGAACAACAGAATAACTCCTGGCTTTCCCCAGGGTTGCCCTGGCCAGCATCACATGATGGCACTGGCTGGTTCACCACCATCAATGATATTTAGAGGATTGATCATGCTTTTCCAAACCCATCCACTCCAGTCTTCCTGAGCCACATTCCAACCATGTGAAGTAAGTAGATTATTATTCCCATTCAATAGAAGAAGAGAACTAAGGTCCACAGAGAAGGAAGTTCACTAATCACTCAACAAAGATTTATCCAGAATCCACAGTGCTGGGCCCTGGAACACAGCAGAGACCAGACAAATGGTCCAGCCTAGTGTTGGCAAGTCAGCAGCAGAAACCATGATGGGCATGTTGCTTTTGTCAGCCAGCACCCCTTCCCTGAGGGAACCAACGTCTCCACATCCCATTCCTGCTGTGGTGTCAATCATGGTGTCCCCTTCACTTTGCAAAGTTAGGGAAAGGGGGCGGTGGCCTATGTGGAGCCAATATGGCACCATACTCCCTAGGCAGTGATTGGTCCAGAGGGCGGGCAGACAATCCTAGCAGGACCAATCAGAGTCTTCCCTGGGGTTTTCATATGGATGTTGGGGGACATACATTTCTTTCTAAGGTTGCTAAGGCAGGTGGGTGTAAGTCTTGGGTTGCTGCCTGTCATCTTGGTATAGGAGAGAGCTATAAGGAAGAATAAAACCAATCAGAGACAAGTAGTACAGACACATGAGAATCAGAGACTGACAACATTGTTTGATCACTGGATCTAGCCATGCCTGAAGTTAGCACACCTACACTTTCTAGTTATGTGAGCCACCCCATTATCTTTTGGCTTGGATTTGAATTACAATCAGTGGAAAGGAAAAGAGTTCCGTTGAACAGAGACCACCACCACAAGTCCAGCTTTCTGCTCATTCTACTTGACTGTCATTCCTCAGGATCACTAGATAATTTTGGGATGGGGCTCTTTTTGGTCCTAATTTCCCTTTTCTCAGAATCTCTTTGAGTCCTAATTCTGTCAGCAAATAACCTTTATTCCTTATTGTTTTATGGCATCTTCTAGAATGCCAAATGTGCCTTCTGGGTCAATATTCAAGCCGTTGATAAAGATGATGGGGTGGAGGACAGAGCCGTGTTAACACAAAACATCCTCCTCCCTCAGGCCATCCACTCCTTAACTTTTCTTGCTGTTTCTGGTCTTCACAGAATCCCAGATTCCTATTATTATACAAGGACTTCATATTCCCACTCCCCATTCGCCATCCCCCACCTCAGCTTCTTGGCTCAAGTTTTCTCCACAGAGCTGCCAACCTTGGCCAGGGAGCAAGTGGCCTATGCGGTGAGCATCTGTTTGCAGCCTCCCAGCATCCATTTTCCCACTTTCCAGCCACCAGTACCTAGATTCCTCTTCTCCATTCTCAGCTGTGTGTTTTACTGCAATATTTTTTTTTTTAAGATTTTATTTTTTTATTTGAGAGAGAGAGAATGAGAGACAGAGAGCATGAGAGGGAGGAGGGTGAGAGGGAGAAGCAGACTCCCTGCCGAGCAGGGAGCCCGATGCGGGACTCGATCCCGGGACTCCAGGATCATGACCCGAGCCGAAGGCAGTCGCTTAACCAACTGAGCCACCCAGGCACCCCTTTACTGCAATATTTAACAAGACTTTGAGGAAGGTTCTGGAATAGTGGAAGGGAAGTACAACACAGAGCACAACCAATGGTTACCTCTAAAGGTGGCTGTGCTGAGCTCCTAGACGGGGGAGGAGGGAGAAGGAGGGTGGTGGTAATTTGAGAAAGGGGTCCTTGGGGCACCTGAGTGGCTCATTCGGTTAAGCGTCTGCCTTCAGCTCAGGTCATGATCCTAGGGTCCTGGGATCGAGCCCCGCATCGGGCTTTATGCTCAGTGGAGAGCCTGCTTCTCCCTCTGCCTGTCACTCTGCCTATCTGTGCTCTCTATCAAATAAAAAAATAAAATCTTAAAAAAAAAAAAAAAAAGAGAAAGGGGTCCTTTCTCCAAACCCCCTGGTGAGCCCAAGAGAGAGGCGCCAGAGCCTCTTTGCCCAGATGAATGCCAGCCTAAGTTCTCTTTGCCAGATGATATACAGCAGGAAGGCCCATCTCATTCAGGGAACACCAGCGGGCTGCCAACCACAGGGAGAGCCTTTGTCTCTCTGGGCCAAGGGAATTAGCTACACGCATCAGGACATGCTGGGTGATGTGATCTGGCCTGAACCCAGGGTGGGGCTCCTGAGTTCCAGTCCCGATTCGGTGGGGCCAAGCCCAAATGAACTTCTCTGTTTCTCCCAAGGTCAGGCCAGCCACAGTCATTCTCCACGGCCCCTGGCCTGCAGTTCTGGCTGCATGGCAGCCCCAGGTTTTCTGCACCTTCTTGAAGAAGAGCCCACTAAATCCTCAATACCCCAACTCCGATCCAGGTTTGAGAGGTGATGCTTCTTTTCAAATGTCCTAATTACAGCAAAACACATTTCTTCCAAAGAAGCAACATGACCGAGAACAGAACTCTGCTTGCTGACACACCTGGTTTCTGCTATCACAATCTGTGCAACTTTCCAGTCTGAAGCATCTTGGGGATGCTTGGGGCTACGTCTCAACAATAAATCTCCCTTGGAAGGACAGGTGGGAACCTACCTCAGACAACTGTGAAATTCAACTGCCTGTACAGATAGTGTTCCCAGAACAAGGGGAGTGTCAGGTAAATTCAGATCTGTACTCTTAGGAGGCAACTCACAACTTGTAAATAAAGGTGGTTTTGTTTTTGTTTTGTTTCAGCTTCAGAATCTCGGGGTCTAGTTGTGGCCAGTGTACCTAGATAAAAAAAGCAAGTAAGATGGAAAACGTGGATTTTGCAAGTGCTGACCAGACACTGCCAACTTGGGTTAAAGTCAATGGACACAAAAAATATGGCCTGGGTAGCTACACACAAAGTGGCACAAAGAAGCTATTAAGATGGCCACACCCTGGAGGGGATGATAGGGGCCGTCACATCACGGGCGGTGAGCCAAGGAGGGAGGGATGTGAACCACTGTCTCTCCTGCCCACCCAGGCTTCCATGTGGTTTTGCTCATGCAGTGCCAACAATGTTCTGAAACTGTGGGATTCTCTTGTGTGACAAGTGAGCTCATTACATGGGGGGCAGTGCCGGAACACAGCAGTCATTCCTTCCCTCATTTATTCTATATGGTTTGCCTGCTCCTTGCTGCTCCCCTGCTGTGTGTTGGGGACAGTCAAAAGATGAATGAACCAATACAGTCTTCATTCACCTGGAGCTTAGGGTCAAGACAGGACTCGGGTATTTACCAAACACCACACCAATAAACACACTGGTCACAGGGCCAGCTCTAGAGTTCTAACCAAGGAGGGAAATGACACTGGGGAGGCCTGACTTGTTTTCCCATGATCTATAACCCGCTCTTGGTGGTTCTCTCTTTTGTAAATGTTCCCAACTCAGAATTTTGCTAGACTCTGAACTCCAGCTGGGAGGCCATGTGTATCTTGGGAAAGAAACTCTTTCATTAGAACCTGGTTGCCCATGACTCCTCGTTCAACCTTCGGGTACCCCCGGATTTCAAGGACATCTCCATGGGTCCCCACGAAACCGCATGGCTTACCGGGGAGGGCGAACAGGGCCCACCACGTGCGCACCTACTGCGCCTGTGCCCTGCGTGCAGTCAGCTCGTCCCGCCCGCCCACAGCACGGGCCACGTGGCCACGTAGCGCACGGCGCGGCGTTGTGCCCGGCGCCAGGGGGCGGGACTTCGAGCCCGGCGCGCGTCCCAATTGGTTAAGCGGAGCTTTCTTTTAGCCGGGAACCCGAAGCTCGCCAGCCGGTGCGTTCGCGCCTTCCGGCCGCCTCGCTGGCAGCTGCTTTGGCGGGAGTTGTGGCGGGTGTGAGGTGAGAACCGTGGGTTTGCTCCCGCTCCGGGCCAGGTCGGACCAGGCCTAGGATGGGCCAGGGGCCTTCCCAGTTTGGGAGCCAGCTCGGACGACCTTTCTGGGGGTTGGCAAGGGTTGGACGGAGTGCCGACCTTGCAGGGCCTGACGAGCAAATGCGTCCCTCTGTGGGGTGTGTCGGGCCTCCCGTCAGCCTAGACCCAGGGGAGGCGTCCAGTCCGACGTTCGACCCTGCCACTGGCGCAGGCGCCTTTTCTTCTGTCCGGGGCCAACTCAAGGAACGCTTGCCGGGAGTCTGGTGAGGGGCCTGAGCACTCCCCCCTCCCCCCGCCCCCGCCCGGCACGCCATGTTCAAGCCGCGGTTCTTTGTAGGGAACGGACATTCCAGACAGGGACCAGGTTTGGATGTTACCCTTGATGAAGGGCCGCAGACCCCGCTGCGCCCACGGGCTGGGCATCAGGTGTCGCTGATGTGGCAAATGGGAAGGCATTTGCTGCGGGGCTCCAGCCAGCCCGGGGGAGGGGGGGGCGGTGCTAGCCAGAGGTGTAGGTCTCAGGTTTTGGGGTTTTGTTTTGTCTTTAATAACAACAGCTGGAAACCCCTTTTTTCTAATAAAACACGCTCACTAGTCTTAAATGTTGAGGTTAACTCGTCAAGGTTTAGAGTATTGTGTGGCCAAAGAAAATACATATATGAACTACATTTGGCCTTTGGGATGCCAGTTTGCCACCTCCGCTTTAGATGTCCCAGGAGGAGGGGGCGTCCAGGCAGGAGCTACAGACTGACAGAGATTACCCGTTTTGGGGGAATTGAGCCCTAGAAAGATCTACCCCAGAACTGACCTCTGGATCTTACAAGCTTGAGTAGTTGACTCAGTTGGTGAATGGGAGTTACCCTTGCTTTGTCTTTTACGCTGCCCCTTCAGGGTTAGCACAGCTTTAATGGGGTTAGATTTTGAGAGTGGTCTGAGGCTGGGGAGCAGGCATCCTCCTTGCAAAGGAGGCAGAACCCCTCAAATTGCAGCCTCAGCTTGGGGACTCTGTGCCAAATGTCTGAGTGGGGCTGTGAGACGTTTTTCAAAGTAGGAAGTGCATTTGGAATAAGTCTAGCAGACCTTGTGCACTGAAGGAATTTCGATCCTCTTGGCTTCATAGTTCTAAACTGCTAATTGGGGAGAGGAGGAGAGACCCAGAGGAATTCTGGGAGGGGGAGTTACAGTCTCATCTAGCACTTCCTGGATCCCTCCTCTGTGCAGGGCTGACTGCTGCGCATATGGAGATGTGTCCACTGCAGCCCTTGCCCCCAGGAGACTTTCAGATGATGTGGGAAAATGAAACTTCGATCCTGGAGGAGGCTTCTTGCCCAGCAAGCTTGGGCTGGGGGAACCAAGGAAGAGAGGAAAAAACTAGAGGGTGATCCAGAGGCATCATGGATTTAGAGCCCTGGACAAAATTTGGTGGGATGGCGGGGAAGGGAGCAGGCACTTCCACATGGATATGTGCATTGTGTGGTGGGGTAACAAAAATAATTGGATCAGCCTACCCAGGGACATGGTGAGAAATCAGGGTAGAGGGGTTTTTAGCATCCACTTTCTAGGCTGGGAGGGGTTCAGTGTTGTTTTGTGGAAGATAGATGTTTGTTAGTTCAGGGGAATATTGTGGTGGGAGGGAGGGGCTGAGGAGATACCAAGTGGGAGCTTTTGTGGAGAGTACTGAGTAAAAGGGGATGGGATCCACTTTGGAAAACTCTATCTTGTCCCCAACCAGATGAGCATTCCTTGGGAACAGGTCTGTGTGGCATTTCACTGTTCTGACCCTCCAACTATCCCCCTACCTCATACCCTATGCCCACATTCCTATAATGATTGGATGGATAAAGTGCTGTCTTGTGCAAGGGAGAAGAGCCGCTGAGCAGGACCCGGTGGCCTTGTGGCGATGGTCCTGTTCCTCTTTGGCAGTCTGATGCTTCCTTCATGCCAATCCAGCCTTGTTCTTTCCCTGTGCACAGAAGGGGTCTCAGTCTCCATTATAGCCCCCATCTGTGCTGTGAGATTGCAGGGTGGCTGCTGATGATAAGATAGCTGATCCACTTCATGTAAGCCTGAGGGAGCCCCTGATCTGGACACTGAAACCTTTTGAGGACATCTGCTCCTTTATGGGACATGTCGGGTATGGGGTGGGGCTTTGATCTGAACCAGCTTCCAGCCCAGCTTCTCACCACTGCTGGCTTGGGTGTTGTCTGTCTGTCCTGGGGTTGAGGACTTGGGGGTGGGGGGTCACTCCAGGACCCCTTGTTGTTCCCCAAACTCCAGATCCCCCTCCATCCTTCTTCCTCTCCCCAGGTCGGGTTCCTGTGGAGAGAGAGAGAGAGAGGGAGAAGTGGCTAGTTCCCAGATTTTATAGGCCCCCATGGATACCATGTTGGAAGCCAGACTCCAAACCCAGCAGAGGAACACCCAGAACAGCCAGGAGGTAATGTGGCCCCTCCCATTCCCCAAATACCTTCTGTCTTCTCACCTCCCCTTCTGTGCCCCCTCACTTCTGGAGCCCCCTTCCCTCTGCCAAGGATTTTGAGTCCTCTGATTTCTTCCTGTGACCCTTTTCCAGACCAGCTTGTGGTCCTCAGGCTTTGGGATGAAGCTGGAGGCTGTTACCCCATTCTTGGGGAAATATCGCCCCTTTGTGGGTCGCTGCTGCCAAACCTGCACTCCCAAGAGCTGGGTGAGTGATGGTAGGACTGGGCCCCACCAGGGAAGCTTGGGGAAGTTGACTATGGGAGCCATGGCTCTGGGAAGCAGCTCTCTTTATGTTCAGCCCTCCTTCACCCATGCCTGTGCTCTTGTCTTTCAGGGGAATGGATACACTGGTGTTGGTTGTGGTGTTGGTCAGGGCTGGCTTCCAGGCCTTCAAGAGTTGGGCGGGGTAGTGCAGAGAGAGGAGATGGGGCATGGCCAGAGGGCTGGGGTCTGGCCAGGTCTGCATGAGTCTTGTTCAGTTCTGGGGACACTGCCCACTTAAAGTCACACAGCACTCAACACATGTTTGAAGACCTCATGTGTCCATACCATGTGCTGGTGCTGATGAGCCCCAGGGTCCTGGCAGAGATCCAGGCTACGTGTCCTCTGCTGTTGACAAGAGAACTTCTCAGAGACTATGTGCTACTCTCCACGAGGGGGATTCTGTAGAGCATGCAGCACTTCCATTTTGACTATGGGACCCTTTCTCCTGAGTGAGTCTTGGGATCTGAGAAGTGAAATGCTGTACTATAATTTTGTCTCCTGGGATACTCAATACTCCCGTCAGGCAAAGCCTACAGAATATAGAGTGGGGGCTCTCCTGTGTTGGTTTGTTAAGGCCCCCAGGGACATACTGTCTCTGGCCCCTCTCCTGCAGGAGTCCCTCTTCCACAGAAGCATAATGGATCTAGGCTTCTGCAATGTGGTCCTGGTGAAGGAGGAGAACACCAGGTAGTCAGGGCTGGGAGCTGGGGGGAGGGCGGTGGGCAGGGTCCTTGGGTGCAGGGCTGCTGGGGCCCTGTTTTGTGGTGTCATTAGTTTTTCCTTTGGTGGAAAAAGAAGGGCCCCTGCCCTCTGCTCCATACCCGCAGGTGGGGAGAGGCAGGCTGGGAGCTCTCCTGCAGTTTTTTCTCTGAGCATTTATGGATTGCCCACTGTGTGTCAGGCCCTAAACCTGTATCCCACTCAGGGAGAGGGGAGGGAATGGGGCACAGATGGGCAAGTGCTGCTTCTTCCTGCTCCATGATAAGCCAAGCTCAGGTGTTCCCAGGCCATGGGACTCAGGTGTGATCCCTTCCTGGTGGAATACCCTCTGTAGACCCTACTGGGGTATGGGCCCTCTGAAAGATCACCACCCTCCCTGCTCTGGGGGCTGTGTCCAGGTTTCGGGGCTGGCTCGTTCGGAGGCTCTGCTATTTCTTATGGTCACTGGAGCAGCGCATACCGCCCTGTCAAGATGCCCCACAGAAGATCATGGAAAGCACTCGGTGAGGAAGCAGGGATTAGAGTCTGGCTGGCACTTTTGAGACCCTTGAAGGGATGACCAGCATTCTAGGCAGGGGTGGTTTAGAGGGCTGGCTTCTAGACTGTTAGCTTTGCTGGGGCCCTTCCTTAAAGATGGAGGATAAATACTGGAGTCTATGTTCTGGGGATGCTGTGGTGCTGAGGGAAGTTACCTGAGTGATCTTAGGCCTGCCCCAGCCTGACGCCACTCCCCCTCACACCACAGGGTGCAGAATGTCATCTCAGGGAGGGTCCCAGGAGGGGCTGGGGAAGACCAGGTACCAGGCCTTGTGAAGAAAGAGGTACAGCGCATCTTGGGCCATATCCAGGCTCCAGTCCATCCCTTCCTGCTCAGGTAACTGCTAGGGGCACTCTTTTCTGGGCTGGGGCCTCTGCCCTTCTGGAGAGTGGGTGTTGGCTAGGTTTGAAGAAAGACTGGACTCCCCTCCTGGGAAGTTGGATGGTGTGTTTACCAGAGAGCCTGAAGGGAGCCCCTGATCTGGACATTGTGATCTCTTTCAAGGACAGCTGGCTCCTTGATGGGACTAGTCAGTATGGGGTGAGGCTCTGATCTGAGCCAGCTTCCAGCCTAGGTTCTCAACACCATTCAACACTGGCCTGGTGTTGTCTGTCTGTTCTGGGGGTAGGGGCTTGGGGGTCACCCCAGGAACCCCTGGTTGTGGCCCAGACTCCAGTTCCCTCTCCATCCTTCTTCCTCTCCCCAGATCAGGTTCCTATGGAGAGAGGTGAGGTGGCTGCTTCCCCATCTTATAGGCCCCTATGCTCCCTCCTGCACTCATCTGGCCCAAGTCTGAGCTCCTCTTAGATGCAGGGCCTTGTTCCTGAAGAATGGAGGGATGCACAGGGCAGAGTAAACATATGGCTGTAAGAAGGACAGAACAAGGGTGTTAAGATTGAAAATAGGTGGGGGAGGAGTAGACTTGTAAGACAGGGACAAAAGGGGGAAAGGAGCCAAACTTAAGGGAGCAAGGATGGAGGGAACAATCCTACTAGAGGGAATAGCATGAGCTATGGCCATAAGAAATGGCCACTTTTGCTCACGAAGCTGTGGTTGGAAGCTGGCGAGTGAGTGAGAGAGCTGTCGGAGACAAAATTGAGAGGTAGAAGGGACAAGATATGCACGGCCATTTTAGAAGTTTGGATTTGATTTCTAAGTGCAGTGAAAACCAGTGGAAAGGTTTTAAGCAGGAAATGCTAACAAGGTGAATTGGGATCAAGAGCAGAGAACAGAAGACCATCTGGGAAGCTTTGTTAGCCCAGGTGAGATGCCATGATGAGGCATGTGGTGGTGACAGTGGGGGTTGGAAAAATGGATTGAAAGACGAATGTGAAATTAATAGGACGAATGTGAATTAATGGGTTGAAGGGTGAGGGTGGGGGCAATGAGGGGAAAGGGAGAAATCATGGGAGAGCCAGGGTTTTGGCAGACACCTGGTGGTATGGATGGAGGGGGCAGGCTTGGGGAGGAGTGAGTTTGGCCCACAAAGGATACCTTGGCCATAGAGTTTCAGATACCTGATGTGTTGGTGGAGACCCTGAAGAGGCAATTGCTCATGAGTCTGGAACTCAGAAGAGGTAGAGGCCAGGAACATAGGTTTGCAAAGCTTTAGCATATAGATATTTAAAACCAAGAGATGAATGAGTCACTGAGGGAAAGAAGGCACAGCTGTCTTGAAAGTGCTCAGTGGTCAACTGCTTAGGACAGGAAGTAGAGGTTGTTGGTAACTTTGACCAGCCCTCCATGTGACAATTCTTTGACTTTGCTGAGAGTTCCAGTCCCTTGACCTGACCACCTTTACACCAGCCATCAGCTCCCCTCTTGTCTTCTCTCCTGGTCTTGCTTCGATTCTAGGGCTCATCGTGATGATGATGTCCTGGGGAAGGAGTCACTGGTTCTGTTTGAACCCAGCTACCTGCCTTCTCTGTACCTAAGCAGTCAAATGTTTCCTTTATGAGATTTTCAAAGAGGCATACAGCATCTGCTGAGACTCTGATCCAGACTGCTGCTTCTCAGATTTACCCACTGTTAGCTGATGGCCCCATCTCACGCTTCATGGAGAAGTAGAAGCCATTGGACAAGGGCGTGCTGCTTGTCCACCACATCTCTGTGCAACTTGCATCTACACTTCTGTCCTCATTCAACACCAGTCCCCCCCCCCCCCCCCATTGGGCCTCTGGGGAATGCCTCCTCAGAGACTTGGCCCTTTCAGTTATCCCCTTTTTGTATCACTAACTCCCTCCTTTGTATTTCACCTTTCCCAGCAGTTTTCAAAGACCCAGGCTGGGTTATGCCTGGAGAGAGTCTTGGTCCTCTAATTTCTTTTAGGGTAAATGGAGGCAGGGAGGTGCTCTGAAGCTAATTTGAGGCAGTTGCACCGTGCGATCTTGGGAAAGTAACAGCACCTTATAGGCATGGGCTTTGGTGTCAGGCCTGCCTTCCAGTCTCCACATCACCACTTCTTAGCTTTTTCTACTTCTTCTCAGCAGCTTCTGTAACCTGCCCAAGCCTCACTTCCTTCTTCCATAAAGTGGGGACAGTAATAGCACTTGCCTTACAGGAGTGCTGGGTAGCTTCCTGAGGTGCGCGGGCCCTGACTCATGGGCGGGGCCCTTACACACCTCAGACTGGGTGTCACTCTCCAGGCTGTTCAGCTGGGCACTGCTGCGGTTCCTGAACTGTGTCTTCCTGAACGTGCAACTCCACAAGGGCCAGATGAAGATGGTCCACAAGGCCTCACAGGCAGTAAGGCCCGCCTTCCGTTGGGTTGGGGATGGCGGGAACAGAGGAGCAGAGGCTAGGCCAAGCCCTAAGTTGGGACCAGCCCCATCAGCTGGTGGGAAAAATCCACTGCTCTTTGACGACCTTCTCTTCGTGTCTCACGGTCTTGCTCCCATGGGGCTCCCTCTAACGTCTTTTCATCATGGTCTTAACCATTACATCAGTGCATTACCTTAAAAGTTGTTGACAGAGCTCCTCTACTTTTGGGAAATGTGCTCAGAGGAAGAACTGCTCAGCTGAACTCTCCCTCCCTCTGGGGCTGCCCTGGGTCTGGAGGTGCTGGATTTCAGCTTCCTGTATCTTCAGGGTGGGGGCGGATTGGCACTTCCCTCTGGCTCTCCCCAAGCAGGGCTTGCCGCTTGTCCTCCTCTCTACCCACAAGTCACTCCTGGATGGGATCCTGCTGCCCTTTGTGCTGCTCTCCCAAGGCCTGGGTGTGCTCCGTGTGGTTTGGGACTCCCGCACCTGCTCCCCCACCCTCAGGTAAAAGCCTTGTGCCCCTAGACATACAGGGGAGAAGACCCCACCTGGGGTAGCGGTGTGTGGGGATGTGCACGGGCGTGTTGCTGGCAGCAGTTCCCCAGAGGCCCTCTTCGTGGTCTTTCTGCTCCCAACTCTCTGTCATCTCAGCCTGTGGGGCTCAGGTGAAGGGTCAGCTATGAGCCTTAGGGCCATGCCTGGCTTCGGAGTGTTCAGGCAGGTCCCAGGCTGGCCCTGGTGGGCCAGGGTTCTCACTAGGCTGCCTGGTCCCATCTCCTGAGCCCCTTCATTCATCAAGCTTTGCCTTAATGCCCCACAGAGCTCTGCTAAAGAAGCTTGGGGGGCTTTTCTTGCCCCCAGAGGCCAACCTCACCCTGGACAGCCCTGAGGGGGTCCTTGCAAGGGCTGTGGTCCATGCCGTAAGTGCCCCCAGTGGTACGGTTGGGGCCAGACCAGGGTACAGGGGCTTGTTGCTGCTCTGGCCTTGATACCTGCCTCCCCCAACCCCCTTCCAGGCTATGGAGCAGCTGTTGGTCAGCAGGCAGCCCTTGCTCATATTCCTGGAGGAGCATCCTGGGGCCCAGGGGCCTCGGCTGTCAGCCCTGGGCCAGACCTGGCTGGGACTGGTGGTACAGGCTGTCCAGGTGGGCGTCATCCCAGATGCCATGCTAGTTCCAGTGGCTATCACCTATGACCTGGTTCCAGATGCACCCTGTGATGTATACCATGTGAGTCCTGTCCCCGAGGACTCCAAGTGGACACCATCTCTAGAGCGGAGACACATTACTATGTTCTCTGGCCAGCTTCTCTTAGGGTTAGAGTTAAGGGGAATGTAAAGGAATTCTACCCCTCCAGTCATCATCCTGTGGCACTTGCCAAGGCACTTAGACTTACCCAGTCATTTCATCTTCTAAAGACCCAGTTAGAGGGGGATTTCTCCTGTTTCATGGATGAGAAAATAAGCTTGAAGAGGCCATGGTCATGCACCAGTTGGGGCCCAAGATAAAACAGCAGAAGGGACGCCTGGGTGGCTCAGTCATTAAGTGTCTGCCTTCAGCTCAGGTCATGGTCCCAGGGTCCTGGGATCGAGCCCCGCATCGGGCTCCCTGCTCCGTGGGAAGCCTGCTTCCCCCTCTCCCACTCCCCCTGCTGTGTTCCTTCTCTCACTGTGTGTCTCTCTCTCAAAAAAAACCCACAAAAAAACAGAGCAGAAAATAGTGCCCCTAGGCAGTTTGCTCACTCAGCCCCTCCCTCCCTGCAGGCCTTGGCCCCACTGGGGTTGTGGACAGGAGCACTGGCTGTCCTGCGGAGCCTGCGAGGCTGGGGCCACAGCCCCAGGGTCTGCGTCCGTGTGCACCTGGCCCAGCCCTTCTCCCTACAGGTATGCAGCCTGCTGGACAAGGCTGGGACTACCTGAGGTCTGTCCCGGGGCTTCTGGCAGCCTGGCCCTCAGAGCCTCTGCAGGGATAGTCTTGCCTACCTCAGGTGGGCTGTGTGCAGGTTTCCTGGTGGGCCAGGGCAGGCCACCTAAAAGCCTTGTTCTGGGCAGGAATACACCATCAACGCCAGAAGCTGCTGGGGCAGCAGGCAGACCCTGGAGCAGCTGCTGCAGCCCATCGTGCTGGGCCAATGGTAGGGGCACGGTTGTGTGTGGGTCTCGGGGGCAAGGCAGGCAGCCCTTCAGCCCCAGCTTGACCTGGCACCTTCTTTCCCCATACCCACAAACTCATCACCAGCTCCAGCCTTCCCTCTCCAGCTATCCATGGGTCATCTAGAACAGAGCCAGGCACCCCTCCTTGCCTATGATCTGACTGGGACATGGCACACAGACCTGGAAAGGGCTAGGGTTACATGAGCCACCTCTTGCCTTGGGAGTGGGCATGGGGAAACACCCTTTGAGAAAGCTCTGGGCTTCCCCACAACTGTTTTGAGGTTTGGTCCCTTTATCCTATGACCTATGTCTCTATCCCAGTACTATTGTCCCAGACACTGAGAAGGAGCAGGAGTGGACTCCAGCAACTGGGCCCCTTTTGGCATTTAAGGAAGAGGACCAGCTCCTGGTCAGGAGGCTGAGTCGTCATGTCCTGAATGGTGAGGGGGAGCTAGGTCTGAGCCTTGGAGGGGGGGTGGCTTCTGAGCATTCTTTCTACTGGGTCAGCTAGTCTTTGGAAAGCCCTCCTTTCCAAATGGGTTTCTGCACCTGACTTCCACTCCTGTGCGGCCCATTTGGGACATGTGAAGAGGAGTGGAACCCGCCTTGCTCCTGGGAAGCAGGGCAGCCAGGGAGAACCGGAGGGAGCCACTAGATGACAGGCTGGCGAAGCTGTGGAGGGTGCACTGTGCAGGGGGAGCTGGCCGGATGAGCCACCTACCCGAGGCCATACCTGGCCCTGCCTTAGGCTCACCACTTCAGCCTGGTCTCCTTAGTTGTAAATGAAGGGGATGTCAGTTGCATGGAATTATGCACATAAGGGACTTAAGAGCACCCTCTGTACCAGACACTGTATTAACAAAATTCTCTTTATTACTCTTTTTGAGTGCCCCTTCTGTGGCAGAGACCATGGGGGTGAGTGGGCCTGAGAGAGGCAGGGAAGGTCCCTGAGCTCCCATCGTGTATTTGATAAATGTTGGTTTTCCACAGGGAAGGGTGGCACTCAAGGACCAGGCCTTCTCTCCCCTTGCCTAGGGTAGAGTTGGGGGGGGGCGCTGCTGCCAGTGGGGTGCAGGAGGAATGTTCTTGACTAGGAAGACTTGCTGGGGCGGTGGAGGGACTAGGCCCCTGCCCTGACCAGCATTTCCCACCCTAGCCAGTGTGACCAGCTCGGCAGTGATGAGCACGGCCATCATGGCAACACTGCTGCTCTTCAAGCATCAGAAGGTAGGGGACAGAGTGGTAGGGGGCTGGGGGAGGCGGTGTGGCCCTCCTGCTCAGCCCCGTACTACCCTGGCCCCCAGGGTGTGTTCCTGTCCCAGCTTCTGGGGGAGTTCTCCTGGCTGACCGAGGAGACGCTACTGCGTGGCTTTGACGTGGGCTTCTCGGGGCAGTTGCGGTGCCTTGTGCAGCACACGCTGAGCCTGCTACGGGCGCATGTGGCCCTGCTGCGCGTCCATCAGGGGGACTTGCTGGTGGTTCCTCGGCCAGGCCCGGGTCTCACACACCTGGCACGCCTGAGCGCCGAGCTGCTACCTGCCTTCCTGAGTGAAGCTGTAGGTGGTGAGTCCCCAGGGCTTGGGCTGGGTGGGACGTGTGTAGGGCCGAGGCGAATGGCGGCCCTTCTCGTGCCCGGCCCTCTCCTCCCCCAGCCTGCGCTGTTCGGGGGCTGCTGGCAGGCAGAGTGCCGCCTGAGGGGCCCTGGGAGCTACAGGGCATCGAGCTGCTGAGCCAGAACGAGCTGTACCGCCAGATCCTGCTGCTGCTGCACCTGCTGCCCCAGGACCTGCTGCTGCTGCAGGTCAGGCCTCTCCGCCCAGCCCCACGTGGTCCTGGGCCTCCCCTGTCGGTTGTGGAGGGGGAGGGACTAGGCAGGCACGGGCCCCCAAGTCTTCCTGTGGCGTTAGATCTCCCTTGCCCACTGCTGATTCTGAGGCCACAGAATGCTTTTCTCCTCAGCCCTGCCAGTCTTCCTACTGCTACTGTCAGGAAGTGCTGGACCGTCTTATCCAGTGTGGGCTCCTGGTTGCTGAGGAGGTAGGAAGGGCGGCTGGAGACAAAGCCCCAGTCTGGGGCCTGGCCACCTACTCCCACCCTGAGTGACAGCTGCCCCAGCGTGCTGTGGGGGTGGGCATGCTCCTAGCCTGGCTGACAGGGAGGCCTGGGTCCTGCCTCTGCCAGCTTTGCCTCGGGCTTTGCCCTATCTGCCCTATCTGCCCTATCATGACAGGACTGGACAACTGGACCTCTGCGGTCCTCTGCATGTCTCCTGCCCCTTACAGTTCTTGTCCACAGACTGTGGCCCTTGAGGGTCAGCGCTCACTTCCTGTCACCCTGCAAGTTGGCTCAGCAGGTGCCATGGTCTGGCGTGGCCCTGGGTGTCGTCTTGGGCTCCCTAGTTCTGCTTTTACTGGTTTCGCCCCCACATGCCTGGTCTGCCAAGTACCTGGTCTAGGGAAGTGGGGGGCTCAGGGCTGAACCTGTCAGGGACCAATGGCTCCCACGGCTCCCAGACCCCAGGCTCCCGGCCAGCCTGTGACACAGGGCGGCAGCGTTTAAGTGCAAAGCTGCTGTGGAAACCGAGTGGGGACTTTACTGATAGTGACAGTGACAACTTCGAGGAGGCTGAGGGCCGGTACTTCAGGGTAAGTTGGGAGAAGCCACATCGGGGGTGGGGGAGGCAGGCAGCCAGTGGGAACGACCCTCACTCTGGTCTGTCCCCCTCCAGCTCAGTCAGCAGTCACGCTGCCCTGACTTCTTCCTCTTCCTCTGCCGCCTGCTTAGCCCGCTGCTCAAGGCCTTCGTACAGGCTGCCACCTTCCTTCACCGGGGACAGCTGCCGGATACGGGTAAGGCCTGTGCCCCCTCCGGCCAGCCACAGGGGGAGGCTGAGAGCTCTCAGGGCAGGGGCCCCAGGCTCACATCTTCTTTCTCCCAGAGTCCGGCTACACGGAGCAGCTCTTGCAGTTCTTGCAGGCCACTGCCCAGGAGGAAGGGTCCTTTGGTGAGTCCCAGGCAGCCAGCCCAGGCTCCCCAGAGGCAGGGAAGGGTTTGCTGGTGGTTGCTGCCCCCTGCTGGGCAGTGACATCGCAGCTCCGGGAAGAAGCGTTGTAGAGAGAGGGTCTTTGCATCTAGTCTGAGCCCTAGCCTTGGCTAGTTCCTTCTTTCAGCACAAGAGAAGCCTGCGCCCAGTGGTTCCCTGCTCCTCCCTATAGCCTTCACTTCTCTCTCCCTTCCAGAGTGTGCAGACCGAAATCTTGCCATCAGTGCTATCTGGACCTTCAGAGATCTGGGGGTAAGAGGAGCCAGTCTCACCATCCTTGTGCCTCCCATCTCTATACCGATAGAGCTGCTCAGGGAAGCCTAGCTGTGCCCACCCTGAGGTTTACCTAGTGTCTCAGAATAGGCGTGGTGGCAGTAGTTGAAGATAAAGGGCCAGGAAAACCATCCTGTCTCATCCTACTCTTGGGTTTAAGAGGCAACAATTGCACTCAAGGCCCAAGGGGCCCGAGGCTCACCTGCAGTGTGCTGGGGGACAGGCACAGCCCCCATGGTAAGCGCTCACAGCCCTTCCCTGTGGCCCAGGTGCTGCAGCAGATGCCCAGCCCTGCCGGTCCCATGCTCTCCCTGTCCCCTACGTTCACCAGCCGGGAAAATCAGGAAAAGCTGGAACAGTTCATCTGGCAGTTCATTTGTAGCTAGAACTGTGGGGTGACTTCTCAGCCCCAGAACATAGCAGTGTCCTGGAGCCAGAAGACAGAGGGGGCTGCACACCCTTACCTGAACTATAAAATCTTTTGTGCTTCATTGGCTCTTGCCGTCTCTTGCATTTTCCATCCTTTGGTGTGTTAAGGGGACTGGACAAGTTTTTTCCCAAGCCCAGAGTGTCTTTTTTGGGGTATCTGTTCTCTCCTTCCCCACCCTGTGAGAATGCCCTGTCTTGTTCCTTAAAGCCCTAAAAGACAAACTGTAGCAGAAGCCAAGCTGCTGCTTTGGCTGAGAATTTTATTGATGAGGAAAGCAAGCTTCTCTCACTCTACCTGGAAGAGGCAGCTGGCCCTGGGAGAGAATGGATGCCCCACTTCTTAAGTCCAGGGCCTGTGGGGAGAGCCCTCACACCACCTTGTTGATGATGATGCCTAGTTCTTCAATTTCACACTGAACTTCATCCCCCTTCTGTAACAGAGAAAATCAGGACATTAGTCCTTTGGCCTCATACAGGCCTGGATTTCACAAGCCTGCCAGGGATTCTGGGTCCTTGTTCCCTTTCCACCTTTTAGTCAACCTACCTTGAGAAAGACTGGAGGTTTCCTGAATACACCAACACCTGGGGGGGTCCCAGTCAGGATGACGTCCCCTGGGTAAAGAGTAACGAACCTGGGGCAGAAGAGAGAGGTGAGACCAGGGGTCGAGGTGGCCAGAGCCAGGGCTGGAAGGCTCAGCTCAGCCTCAGGTGGGTTTGTGGAGTAGGGCCCCATCCCACTTACTGGGAGACCCAGGCTATCAGCTCTTCGGTCTTAAATACCATCTGGTTGGTATTGCTGCTCTGGACCACCTCCCCATTCACTCGGCAGCAGATCTTTAAGTTGTGTGGATCTGAAAAATGTAAAAGCACCACCTTGGGGTTCTCCTTGTTTTCCCTCAAAACCCTCCCTTTACTCAGAAAGCAAATGCACAAGGTGGCTTTGTGACTGGCCAGGTGAAAGGTCTGTCCGCTAGTCTCCCCGCATGTACTCCTGGCACTTCATGCCCACTCAGCACTCCCTACCCTGGAGCTTTCTGTATGGACATTGGCATCCTTAGGTCTCCCTGCATCTACCACCCAGCAGAGCGTCTGCCAGTGGTCACTGGGGTGGGTTAAGGAGGGAATGTCCCAGGCCCTCTTCTATCCACAGCAGAGGCTGACAGCTGCAGATATAAAAACAACTGGGTATCTGTACTCCAGCAGGGTAACCACCCAGATGGGCACGGACGCCTCCTGCACCTGACGGCAGGGGACAGCTTACCTGTAATAGTGTCCTGGCTAATGAGCACCTTCTTTTTTTTTTTTTTGCTTTATACACTCACACCCTGCCCTCAGAGCAGCTGAAACGCAATTTCACTTCACTGACGGCTGCACAGGGTGGTGTAAAGCTTGGCCGCATGGACACACCCCCACCCAAATGGCTGTGCTCTGCCCTCTGGCTGACGGGCTTTCCTCCTGGCTCACCGTGCTGCCTAGAATGGGTGCTGCCCTGGTACCACCAGCTGTAGAGGTGCCGCTGTGCTCTCCCTGGGGAAAAGGCATGGGCTTCTGGCAGCCATTACTTCTGCTTCCTGCCAACTTAAAGACACTCATGGACAGTGGCAGCTAGAGGAAGTTCTACCACCTCTGTAGTGAGGGACATGGAAGGAGGCCTGTGGAACTCATGGCCTAGGGTGAGACTTGCTCTCAAAGGCAACTCCAAATTCCAATTTCCTGAGTACGGCTTTTCATTTACTCTGCTGTGTCCATGCAAGAGCAGGAAGAGTCACCATGTGGGCTATCCCAAGACCTACCTGCTATGCTGTCCTTGGTCACCAAGGCAGGGCCCAGGGGGCAGAAGGTGTCAAAGGTTTTTCCCAGCAGCCACTGCTTCCCATTGCGTCTCATTTGCCAGTCACGAGCACTTACATCATGAGCCACAGTGAAGCCGGCCACATGAGCCATGGCATCTGTGGCCTTTAGGGGACAGGGGATTTGGCCAGATTGGAAGTTAGATCATCACGGTGAGACCAACCCCCATAACCAAGCCTTTATCCCATGTCAGTCGCCAGAACTAGCCGAAGATGGGCAAGGAATAAGGCAGGGAGCAGGTAGTCGCCGTCCACTTCCCAATGCCAGAGACGGCTGGCATCTCTACCAGCTTACCTTGATGCGCTTGCCTTTCTTTCCAATGACCACAGCCAGCTCCACCTCCCAGTCCACCTCCTGTAGAGAACGAAGCAGTGAGCTACCTGGCTCCAGGGCCTGTTCCCATGCTGAGGGGCTGCACACCGTGCTTCAGGGCCTAGGTCTCTGACCGTGGGGCTTGGCTGTGGGCCCACAATTGTAATCGCCATGAACCAGACGCAGTGAAGGCGGGGGAGGTGTGGCCTGTAGACCCATAAACGTGGGCAGTGGCAGGCAGCAGCACGGCATGCACGCACAGCTCCCCACTGTGGGGAGCGCCTGGCTAGCTCACTTGGTACAGCACGTGACTTGATCCTGGGGTTGCGAGTTCGAGCCCCATGCTGGGTGTAGAGATGATAAATAAATTTTTTAAGAAAGGCAACATGAGTCTGGGCACTGAATTTACAAGTCACTCGATACTTTCAAAAAAGAATGAATACCAAGTAATAACAGCTAACCCTACTGTGTGCCAATAGCATCCTAAGTGCTTTCAGATATTAACTCACTTAAATGAAAAGAAATGGGCACAGCACAGAAAAAAACACGCACAGCCTTTCCCTCAATCAGCAAAGCGCAACTATAAGATACAACTTAGCCTTTCAAATTGCCTGCTCTTTCTAATGGTAACAACCAGAGTTGCTCTGAGCACAGCCGACACCTGATCTTGGTCTCTAGCATTGCTCCCCACTAGACAGAAATGGGTTGCTTGGGGGAAATGGCTAATTCCAGGTCTGAGACGGTACAAGATGAGCCTGAAATATCTTGGCCAGAAAGCAAGGAAGTACTCAAAAAGTGACAGGGCTGGGGCCAACCTGAAGCCACCCACCGGCCAAATTGAGACCATTTGAATATCAGAATATAAGTGATGGACTATAGCATATTGGATAAAAATGAAAATCAGGAATACACAGTGCTACTAAAGGGACAGGAGTAAAAAAAGAAGGGAGGTAGCTTTTCTTCACAGAATGCCAGATAGTAAGAAGGAATGAAAGAAAAATCACCTTTTTCTAACCCCCAATACAATAATGAATTGAGGTGAGGATCCCTGGATGAAAAGCTGTGGGGCAATAAGACAGTCCAGAGGGTCTCAAATTCCTACCCTGTAGACTGCTTATTAATTACCACAGTGAAATACACCTTTCCGATGAGATCTGGTCAACATCAAGTAAACCAAGTGATCAAACTTTAGGACCACCTGACATTAAGCCTCCCAATGGGGTGCAATACACATCTGTTGCTTCAGACTGAATGTGCCCCCTACCCTGAAATTCGTATGTTGAAACCTAACCCCCAATGTGATAATATTAGGAGGTAGAGCCTTTGGGAAGTAACTAGGTCATGAAGGCGGAGCTCTCATGAATAGGGTTAGTGCCCTTATAAAAGAGATCCCAGAGAGCTCCCTTGCCCCTTCTACCATGTAAGAAAACAGCGAAAAGAGAGTCGTCTGTGAACCAGGAAGCCGGCTCTCCCCAAGCACCAAATGTATCGGTACCTTGATCCTGGACTTCCCAGCCTCCAGAACTATGAGAAATTTTTGTGGTTTATTTTGTTACAGCAGTCCAAATGAACTAACACCTATATAGAATCCTTGACAAAAAATGTTTAACTCGAATCTAACAAGGAAAAAGAGTGTAGGATATGCTAAGACAAACTGCCAGGATTCTTCCAAAAGTCAGTGTCATGAAAGAAAATGGCAAGGGGATTGTTTGATACCAGAATTCAGTAAACTACGGCCCACAGGCCCGATCTGACCTCCTGGCTGCTTTTATAAATAGCTTTCCCGGAACACAGTCATATTCACTCCTTTATGTATTAGCCACGGCTACATTCACACGACAGGGGCAAAGATGAGTTATTGCAACAGACACCCTGTGGCTTTCAGAGTCTATTATTTACTGACTGACCCTTTGAGAAAGTCTGCAGATCCCTGTTCTAGATTAAAGCACTAAAGAGACATAACCAAGTACACTGCGTGGCCTTGACTAATCCTGGTTCAACAAACAAAAAGTAAAACAGAACCCAAATTAAGTCATCTTTGGGGGCAAATGGGAATATTCTCAATTGGACTATATATTAGGTATTATTCATGTTCATTTTCTTAGTGGTGATAGTGGTTATTATGGTCATGTAGGACATTGTACTTACTCTTAGAAGATGCATCCTGAATTTTATTCTTTTTCTACAATTAGAGTGTATTATTTTTGCAGTCAGTAAATTTTTTTTTCCCTGAGACCAGCCTTACACAGTATAATCACCTGTAGTTTCTACTAAATGCACTACTAAGCAACAGGTAGCTCCTTTAGGCTGGCTGCTGAGTGCTGAGCACCCTGGTGATGGGCCGGCGACTGAGGGCCTATGAGGAGGCACTGACCTGACTCTCCGGTGGGAGGATGACCTCATCATAGGGCCCCACGATGGAGCTGGCAAACTTGCTGAAGATGATGGGCTCCTTTGGCACTGGAACGTTCTGCTCTTTGCAGTGGTCCACATAATTCATTCCCACACACACCACCTTGTCTGGCCGCGTGACTGGGGCCAGGAAAGTCACCTCTGACCGTGGTAGGACTGGCAACTGGGCAGCCAGAGCTCTGCAGAGACCAGAGCAGGAGAGAGGGACTGATTAGGAGCAGGCCAGCAGCCCCTGGGCGTGCTGGGGAGGTACTGCAGCAGCTACAAGTTGTGCTTTTTCAAATATATTTTCTAGATCTATCAAACATCACAATCAGTGTGCAAACCAAACCCAGCTATTATCCTTTGATATCAGAGCACTGTTTATTTTTTATCCAGTGTTGATTTCCTTTCCCCCATTAGGTAATGCAGGTCATGTAGGGGAATTGAAAAGGTGCACATGAGAAGACCGGAAAGGCCTCTCTCCTGCCCCTGCTCCATCCTTGCACACAGCTGCCAGGGCCCGCGAAGCTCTCCACGGTGCTCGACACATACTCTTCTCCTGTCCTTTTTTTTTTTTTTTTTAAAGATTTTATTTATTTATTTGAGAGAGAGCATGAGAGGGGGAGGGTCAGAGGGAGAAGCAGACTCCCTGCCGAACAGGGAGCCCGATGCAGGACTCAATCCAGGGACTCCAGGATCATGACCTGAGCCGAAGGCAGTCGCTTAACCAACTGAGCCACCCAGGTGCCCTCCTGCTGTCCTTTCTTACACAAATGACAGCACACCAAATACACCTTTTAAAAAAGTACGTATTTTTTGGAGATCTCTCCGGAGCAGTAGATACCTTTCCCCTTTTCTGACAGGACTGTGACACCTGCACGCTACAGATACACCCAATTACCTGATGAGGGACATGGAAATAGTGTACAATCTTGGGAGAGTACGACCGTCCCGGAAACATACTGTTACCAATGCTACGTGCTCTCAAACGTTTGTATTTGTGCCAGCTTAATATGTAAAAATAACTCAAAGTGGTTCTTAATTTACTGTTCATCAGATTTCATACGGCTGCTGGCTTCAGGGAAGTCCCTACCTAATCTAGCCCAAACCCAAGAACCATCTCTAAGAATACCTCTTTGCAGTCCTTTCTCTTCTAAGGAGCCAAGCATCCAAAGACTCCCCCAAGCTTCCCAAGATGCCTCCTAGGACCCCAGATCCCAGACTTCTCAGGCAGACAGGAACTTAGTCCCTTGGGGAAGGCAGAGTGATGAAGCAGAGTTTCCGGCCCCACCACCGAATGTGTGGCTTTGAGATAGTTAATCACCATCCCTGGGCCTGAGGATGTTGTCATACAAGATTTCTAAGGCTCTTCACTAAGAGAAGAGGTGAGAAAGGAAAGGTAGGGCTACTCTGCTCACCTGCAAGAGTTACCAGCTAACTATGTTTCCCAGGGCAGGGATGGGGGTGGGAAGGGGTGGGTAGCAGGGCAGCCACTGTAGCTGCCTGCTGATTTACCTTCTTGCCACTGAGAGAGTGGCCTCTCCCTGCTCCAGGAACTCCATCATCGTCTTGGGCAGTGTGGGGTCAAAGGCGTTGAGGTTGATGACCCCCCCGCCATTCCCTGACTCCAAGCCCAGGTGAGGTCCCATCAGGTGGGGTGCCTGAAACTGCACCAGTCTCATATTTCTGGAGGGTTGAAAGGGCCACTTCTGAGCCTGCAGCAGAGTTGTGAGCAACCTTCTGCAGGAGACCAGCATCAGAACCTATGAAGAAAACCGTGGGTCCTAGGGGACAGAGGGAACAGAAACCACCATCGGGGTCCACAGAGTTCCCCGAGCTGCAGCCCAAGCCCTCTCACCCCATCAGCCATTCCTGGCACAGCACAGTCCTGGAAGTGGTACACATTTATTAGTTATTTCACCCTGTTACACTGTATCAGGTGATTTTTTTGCTCAATTCAATGCGTGTAATGAAACATTTCTAGCGGAGTGACTACTTCATGCCAGGCACTAACCTAGATGGCAGGGGTTCCAGCGGTCCTTCGACCGGTGCTTTCTGCAGGCTCCCGCTGTAGCTGGCACTGCCGAAGCATTGACCTGCCCAGCCCTGCCACCCTGCTCTCAGGGCAGACTAACGACTGATGGCGTAAGGAAGATCCAGCAAGTGGGACTACTGCTGTGAAGATAAACGGTCCTGCCTTTGTCTAGTTTCTTGAGGAAGTGATGCTGAGCTGAGCTGGGCTGGGCTAAACTAAGCAGGACTAGAACTTAGCTAAGAGTGGGGCCCTGCATGGACAAGTGACCACTGGTGAAACTGACTTCACAGCTGTCACAGGCAATTTTTTAAATGCCAGTTTGATCCTTTTACCCTTCTACTGAAATACATTACCAAGCCAAAAGCCCTACCAGGCTATCCTAGGCTTCTAAGAGCAGCCCCCACAAACCTCTCCAGACAGTAATTAGCTTCTCCTGCTGCAGTTCAGGCTACCTGAGGGAAGAGGCTGCAGACAAAGGGCAGGGCCTAAGCCTGACAGGCATCACTGGGCTATCTCCTTTCTGGGTTCCAGGACTACGTCTGTCTCTCACTGCTCAGTCCACAGTGCCCAGCACACAGAAGGCTCTACCCTACACTCTGCTGAATCAACAAATGCCAGGAGCGGCGGCTTGACTTTTCACTACTTGGAAAAGCTTGGTGATTGTCAGCATGGCTGTGTCTTCCCTTCTCAAATCACTCAGAAGGTTTCAACAGGGCTCAGGTCCTGTTTTGAGTTCTAGGTTTTACTCAAAGACAAACCCCATTCTCTTGTTTTGTTTCTAATTTAAGCCTGACCTTCATTCCAAACAGTCCCTGCCCTGCATGGATCCTTGCTTTAAAAAGTAACTCTTTATGCTCAGGCACGTGGAGGTAGTCCCAGACTCCTGGTCCTCACCCTGATGGTTCAATTTGCCATATTCAGTTAAAGACCCAGGTCACTGATCTGACCACTGTAGTGGCCAAGGAGTTCAACCAGAAAACCAGGAGCTTTGAAACTTCCGCCCTCCTGTCTTACACAGCCATGCTACTGTCAAAAATCTGTTCAAGCCAAAATGCATGCATTCAGACACTCTACACACTGAATAAATAGTTATTGTTCCCACTGAATGCCAGGTCTTATTTTAAGTGCTTTACCTACAATGTCTGATTGAATTCTCTTGACAATTGTGGAAGGTAGGTACTGTTAGTTCCATTTTACAGATGAAAAAAACAAGGCTCAGAAAGATGAAGGGATCTGCCCAAGTTCCCAAGGAGAGAAAATAGCTGACACTTGAATCCAAGTCCAGGTGACACTGAAATTCTTGGCTTGGGCTAACGTGTCCTAGAGGTGGTGGGGGTTGGACTTCAGGATATCTCCTAGAGGCCCACTGACACCCTGTCTTCTGTCAGCCTGGAAAAACTTGGTCATATGCTGGCTGCCGCTTCAGGGATATGGCTGGTCACCTGCTTTCCAAGATAACCCCAGGCCCCACGGACTATGCCCTTCCCAGATGACAGGCACATTCAGGTTCTCATTCTGCCCTACAGCAATTCCCTCAGGTACAATATCCCATTTTACAGAAGCGGGCAATGAGGCTTAAATCATCTGCCAAAGTAGCAGTTAGAAAGTGGCCCTGGTGCTTCTGCGGTAATTACGATGCAACAGAACACGAGCTCAATTCAACTCCTGGAAAAGGGTCCTTAAGGAAAGAGGCAAAGATTCGAGGTGGAAACAGCACAAGCATCGCAGCTTGAGAGACGTGGGACCGTGTCCCACCATCCACTTGCTTGGCACCCCTCACCAGTCCCCCAGCTTTGTCTCCGGCACTCACGAGGGCCCGCCCCGCCGGGTCCCTGTGGTCGCTGCGGCCCGGGATCCCGGTCCAGCCCTGACCTCAGCCGAAGACCTGGAGGGAGGCTGAGACCCGGCCCGGCGCACAACTCCAACCTACCTGGCCGCGGCAGCCGGTCTTGCGGGGTGTCCTGAGCTGTCGGGCGCGGGCTCACGGGGTTGGGGGGCCAAGGTCAGCAGGCGCCTAGACACCAGCACCGCGTTCTGGAAACCGACTCGCCCGAGGACCTGCAGGAGTAGCGCGCCCAGCCGCTCCACGAAGACTTTCGCACGGCTGGCGCTCCTTGGTGACGCCAGAGAACGGCAGCCAATAGAAGGGCGCCTCATTCTATCCCGGAAGTCAAGTCACGGAGGGGGCGGGCCTAGCGCTGGAGGGCAGGTAGCCTCTCGGGTTTTTTCAGGCGTCTGGGCGGGGCCGACGCAGGTGAGACCAACCGCCGCCCGAGGCCAATCCCCGCTACTCAAAGTCGGGGCTCCCCGCACCTGCATGAATCTGACAGTAAGTGCTTCCTGAAAATCTGCGCCCTGGACTCCTCGCTAGCCTCACCTGCGTCGGGCCCTGCTTCGGGCCAGGCACCATTTTGATTATTGGGAAAAGAGTGGAGGAGACCAAATTATGGCGTCCTGGTTCACAACGACGAGTATTTTTGTCTTCTGATTCTGATATATCACTGAGAAGAGGAGGAATGATTGCACCCATTTTACATATGGGAAACCCGAGGCAGAAGTGCTTTGCTCAAGGTGACACGAGGAGTGTGAGTAGTGGAACCAGCATTCTGGACCCCAGGTGCAGCCCTTTACTCCCATTCTCAAGCAGCCTTGTCTTCACATACACTGTGTTGGGCCTAGGGCAGGATAGTGGGAAGCATAACCTCTAGCATCAAAGAACAGGCATTCGAGTGCACAGGTGGTTTAATTAAACAGGCAGTCATAATCCAGTAGGACTGTAGGCCTCTGGCATATGGAGACACGTAAAGGGCTCTGCGCAAGATGCCCAGGACTTAACCCTGGGCCAGATCACCCAGGGTTTTACTTGTCCCAAGAAAGAGTTTGAGCCTTATCTAAGCACACAGGAGGACTCACAGGGGATGTGCCATGGTTAGACTTGCATTTGAGAACTTTTGCCCGGCCACTCCTCCAAGGTGAAGTGTCTAGATACGAGTGGTGCAGGTGACAGCAATGGTGTAGGTGGCTTGGTGTGTGGCAGAGACAGGGGAGAATCCAGAGATATTGAGAAGGTAGAACTGACAGCCTTCAATGATGATGACAGGAAGTGGGAGTGGAGGGGGGAGGAGGTCCAAGGCCTACTCCTAGGGCTCTGGCTGGTAAATGGCACTGCCATTCATGGAGACGAGGGGTCTAGAGGGGCAGCAGGTCTGGGGAGAGGATGGTGAGCTCAGTTTTGGATGCGTTATATTTAATGTGCCTGTGACACAGGCAAGGAGGCACTGCAGGGTGGGCAGTTGGAGACACAGGTCTTGGAACTTAGGGAATTAGCTCGAAGGTAGAGGTCAGCATACTGATGGAAATGGAACTTGTGAGGGTAAGTATGATCAGGAGGAATGTGGTAAAGAGAGCCTGGCATAAACCCCAGTCAGGAGACCCATCATGTAAGGATAAGCCAGAAAGACTGAAGGGTAAGAGGGAGACAGGGGAACTCATAACTTAGGCAAAGGTTTGGTACTGCACCTTCCAAATGCCAAGGAGAGGACTTCTGCTTCTGGACGAGAATAAAACAGGTGATGTCATTAAAGACCATGGTCAAAAAGATAATAGGATACTATGAACAAATCTACACACATAAATTTGACAACCTCAATGAAATGGACCAATTCCTTGAAATACAGCCTATCACAATTCACCCAAAATGAAATAGATAATTTGGATAGCACTGTATCTATTAAGGAAATTGAATTTGTAACTTAAAAACTCCTGAAAAAGAAACATCCAGTCCCAGATGGTTTCATTGGAGAATTCTACCAAATGTTTAAAGAATGAACACCAATTCTACATAATCTATTTCAGAAAATAGAATAGGAAGGAACATGTCCCAATTCATTTTATGAAGCCAGTATTACCCTGATACCGGAAAACAAAGACAGTACAAAAAAGGAAACTACAACCAATATCTCCCATAAATACAGATGCAAAAGTCCTTAACAAAACATTAGCAAATATAATTCAACAATATATAAAAATAATTCCCTACCATGACCACACGGGGTTTATTCCAGGAATGCAAGGAATGTTCAATATCCAAAAATTACTTAGTATAATCCACCATACTAATAAGCTAAAGAAAAAAATCACGAAGTCATATCAATTAATGTAGAAAAAATTTGACAAAATTCAACATCCATTCATGACAAATACTCTCAGAGAACTCAGAAGGGAACTTCTTCAACTTGATAAAGAACATCTAACAAGAAGCCTACAGTTAACATCATAGTTAATAGTGAAAACGTGAATGCTTTCCCCCTGGAATTGGGAAGAAAGAATGCCAGTTCCTAACACTTTTTTTTTTTTTAAAGAATGATTGATTGATTGTGCAAGTGGGGGAAGGGGCAGAGGAAGAGAGAGAAACTTAAGCAGACTCCCGAATGCAGAGTGTGACTCCAGGCTCCATCTCAAGAGCCTGAGATCCTGACCTGAGCCGAAATCAAGAGTCGGACACTTAATGGACTGAGCCACCCAGTCACCCTGCTACCACTCCTAATCATCATAGTACTGAAAATTCTAGCTAGTGCAATAAGGCAATGAAAGGAAATAAAAAGCATATAGATTGGAAAGGAAGAAATAAAATTATCCCTATTTGCAGATGAAATGGTTGTCTTCATAGAAAATCCATAGCAGGGAATACCTCCTGGGAATAATAAGTGAATTCAGCAAGGTCACAGAGTACAAGATCAACATAGAAAAAATCAACTGTATTTCTATATACTAGCAATGAAAATGTGCATCCTGAAATTTAAAATATAATACTATTTGCTCAAATAAAAAGAAATACTTTTTATTTGAATAAAAAAGAAGAATTGAAGAATAGGTGCAAATCTTAACATTAACAAAACATGTGCAGGACCTGTATGCTAAAAACTATAAAACACTGATAAAAAAAATCAAAGATCGGGCATCTGGGTGGCTCAGTTGGTTAAGCGACTGCCTTTGGCTCAGGTCATGATCCTGGAGTCCCTGGATCGAGTCCCGCATCGGGCTCCCTGCTCGGCAGGGGGTCTGCTTCTCTCTCTGACCCTCCTCTCTCTCATGCTCTCTCTCTCAATAAATAAATAAAAATCTTAAAAAAAAAATCAAAGATCAAAATAAATAATGAGACACATCACATTCACAGATTGGAAGACTTAACATAGTGAAGATGTTAATTCTCCACAAACTGATATACAGGTTTAATATAATTCTTACCAAAATCCCATCAAGATTTTTTGTACATACAGACAAGACTACTCTAAAACTTGCATTGAAAGGCAAAGGAACTAGAATAGCTACAACAATTTTGCAAAAGAAGAATAAAGTGAGAATAATCAGTCAACCTGATTTCAAGATGTATTATGTAGTCACTGTAATCAAGATTGTGTGCTATTGGGTGCCTGGGTGGCTCAGTGGGTTAAGTGTCTGCCTTCGGCTCAGGTCATGATCCCAGGGTCCTGGGATCGAGTCCCGCATCGGGCTCCCTGCTCTGTGGGGAGCCCGCTTCTCCCTCTCCTCCCCACTTGTGCTCTCTATCTCACTATCTCTGTCTCTCTCTCTCAAATAAATAAAATCTAAAAAAAAAAAAAAAAAAAGATTATGTGCTATTGGTAGAGGAATAGACAGATCAATGGAACAGAAAAGAGAACCCAGAAATGGACCCACAGAAATATGCCCAGCTGGTTTTTGAGAAAGAAACAAAAGCAATTCAATGGAGGAAGAATATTCCTTGCAACAAATGGTGCTGGAGCAACTGGATATCCATCTCTTTAAAAATGAACCTTGACCCCCCCAAAAAAGAAAAAAAGAACCTTGACCCTTGCCTTAAATTTCTAGCTTATATAAAATTTAACTCAAAATGGATCACAGATTTAAATTTAAAATGTAAAATTATCAAGTTTTTAGAAGAAAATATAAGAGAAAATCTTTGAGACATATGGCTTAGTGAAAAGTTCTTAGACATTACCCCAAAAGGCATAACAGAGGGGGGAAAAACATAATTAAAAACTTTTGCTCTGCAAAAGGATGTTAAAAGGATGAAAGAACAAGCTACAGACATGGAGAAAATATTTGCAAACTACGTATCTGACAAAGAACTCATATCTAGGATATATAAAAAACCCACAGCATGTAGACTTCTTGAATCACTATGTTGTATACCTGAAACTAACGTAAAATAGTGTCAACTACACTTCAGTGAAAAAAGAAAAAAGAAAAACCCTGAAAAATCAACAGAGAAAAAACCCCAATCTAATTAGAAATGGATAAATGGCATGAAGAGATGTTTCACTGAAGAAACTATACAGATGGCATATAATCACATGAAAAGATGTTCAACATCTCTACAGAGATTAGCGGGATGCAAATTAAGACCACAATGAGATATCACTGCACTATTAGAACAGTCTAAAAAAAGCAGTGGCAATACCAAATGCTGGAGAGGATGCAGATAACTGATCTCTTACACGTTGCTGATGGGAATGTCAAATGCTATAGCCACTCTAGGAGACAGTTTGGCTGTTTCTTAAAAAGCTAAACATGCATTTACCATATGGCCCAGAAACTGTAATCCTGGGCATTTATCCCAGAGAAATGAAAACCTATACATGATTGCTCATAGCAGTTTTATTTGTCATAGCTAAGACCATGGAAACAACAAAGTGTTTTACAATAGGTGACTGGTTAAACAAAATGTGGTACATCCATAGCGTGAAATACTACATGTCAATAAAAAGGAAACAATTTTGGATATACACAAAAACTTGGATGGATCTCAAGGGCATTATGGGCTGAGTGAAAAAGGCCAATCTCAAAAGGTCACATTCTGTACGATACCATTTGTAGAACATCTCAAAATTATAGAGCTAGAGAACAGATTAATGGTTGCTAGGGGTTACAGATGGGGGTGTTGGTCTTTCACTCAAGTGAATGAAAAAATCTCTTTGTAAGCCACTGTTATCTTGGATCCCTGTTACTTGCAGCTGTACATGATCTGAACTGGTAAGTCTCCGCCCACACCACACTTTTCTTTAATTTCCTCCTCCATCTCAGTCTCTTTCAAACTCACATTCCTCCATCCAACCTATAGATGTTG